ATAGATAGATAGATAGATAGATAGATAGATAGATAGATAGATAGATATCACCAAAAGCCAGGCCCAAGGATAATCCCTTCTCCTTGGTGACCAACTCTCAGGAGTCCCAAAAAGCAAGGATCATCACAGTGCCTCTTTTCCTCCCAACTAGCAGTTTGGGTATCAATAAGCATCTAGGGATGTCATTCTACTTCTGTGCAGCCAGTACTGGGAATAGCCAAATACTGGGCCACTAGTATTGGCTGCCCCAGAGAAGGACATTCCCAGCATCACCAGGAATTGCCATGCACTTGAGGGAACAAACAGTACCTGTCTCCTTAGATCTCTCGTTTTCTTGGTCATCTTATCAATAGCAATGTTTAGAGGATCTCCTTTTTCTTTCCTTCCAGTCTATTAAGAAAACAGAAATAATTTTCAGTTTAGAAAACAAAATAGTAAAGCAGTCAAGGTGTAAAAAATGAGGGAGAAATAGAGTAGCAGAATCTATCCAGTATTAAAGATTGTTTTTTTATTTATGGTTATGGGATCCACAGATGGGGGGGGTCAAAATCATCTCCCCCATCCCATTCTCTCCCCTCTTCAAATCTTTCCTTCTTTCAGCTACCAGAACATATGGTTTTACCATGCCACACACTCCAATGACCAAAGACACACAAAGAAACAGTGGCTTTCTGTATACCTTCAGGATCAAACACAACCATTGTTTGTCATTTAAAATTCTTTATAATCTGTTCCCTTCTGCCTTTCCAGTCTTTGTACACCTTGCTCTCCTTCAGGCACTATACATTCAAGCAATATCAGCCTTTTTGCAGTTCTTCAAACACAGCACTCCATTTCTCTTCTTTTCACCTTTGTGCTAGCTGCCTTTCATTCTTAGAATGCTCTGTCCATCACTTCCACCTCTTAATTCACCTGACTTCCTTCAAGACTTAGTACAAATTCCATCATGTCTGGGAGGCCTTCCCTAGGGCCTCCCTAGATGGTGATGCTTTCAGCTTTCATAATGCCTTCCACCTTCTCTATGTATATCTTGTATCTCTTAATTTGTTTCCATGTCTCCTCCTCTATTCAATGTATGTTCTTGGAAATGAGCATTGTCTATTTCACTTCTTTTATATCTCAAGAATTTATCACAATACCAAGCGCATAATAAGTGCTTAATAAATATTTGCTGAATTAATGCGATGTGACTTGACCCACACCTGTACATCTTCAATACATAAATGAAAAGTGATCAGTCTCTCCTCTAGGTGCTCCAAACACACCCAGGCTGGACCCTCAGATGACTTGAGTTTTGTTTTGTTTTGTTTTTCATTCTTCCATTGGGTGTCAGAATGAAACTGTGAGGCAGCCAATGCTAAAAGCAAGGGAAGTCTTCACTCCCTACGATGAGATCTGGGGGCTTTTTTCTCAGGAAGAAAGAGCAACAGTGAGATCACTATGGCAAATCAAACACAGATCAAAAAGTGATTTCAGGTGAATCACCACAGAGTTCAGAGGTTTTAGGTCAATCCATCACACCCCGATATTGCAGCACCCATTCTGAAATTGAATGAGATGTTTCTTTATGAAATGAATATTAAGAACCTCTAATCTCCATCCTGCCAGGCACTGGGTATGTTGAACAAGATAATAAGTTGCAAATAGCTTGAGGACAGAAGGGCAATGTTCCTTATGTCTGTAACAGGCAATAGGTACAATTAAAAAAAATCTCTCTCCCACTTAAAACATTTTTGACGTTGGGAGACTCAGTAAAAACTGATTTCCAGTTTTGAGGAAGAGTCTGTGTTTTGGAGAGTGGGAAGAGAGGAAAGGGAGACAGAAAAACACAATTCTCTAACAGTTTAAAAAGAAAACAAAAAAGGTTTTAAAAATTTTGAAGAGATAAAAAGCTTTAAGCAACTTTCCCAGAGACATTAACTTTCCTTTAAAAGAAAATTGTTTTCCAAAGCTCTGTCAGTCTCTTTGTATATCTAAACTTCATTTTGACAATGGCTCATCAGACACCTCAATGATTTATCTTTAGCCAACCATGGTAGCTGCCCAAATCCTACCCCCACCTCTCACTTTGTTTTGCTTATTATCCCTGCAAGGAATGAAGTCAGTTTCCATATTATCAATTGTGCCTAATGGCATGATATATTTCTGGGGAGTTACATTTAAAATTCACTTATGACAGGGTTCTAAATGTCCTCTTCTCAGTAATGGCATCTCAGATGCGTGGCTTTTTTTTTTTTAATCAGATCTCAGAAGTGAGACCTTAAATTGCCATCCTTCTTAGCAACTTGAATTAGCAGATTGTTTTGTTGTTGTTGTTGTTGTTTTATCAGAACAAACACCTGACTCATAGTTCTTTGGGAACATCTCATTATAAGTCAAAGCTGGAATGTGGATAAGGGGAATCTGATTATTCAAGATTATGAACCCCAGTTATCCTTTCCCATTGGCACCCAGTCAATCTGTACTTTTTTTTCTTTTAGTACATGATATCAATATACTTGGTTTTCATACTGAAGTCATTTCCAGATAAACTCCACAACAAAATAAATCTCCTACTTTGGAAAAGAAAAACAGTTAAGCAAAACCAACCAATAGGGTGATCTGATCTGACTATTACATACCCATAGTTCCCCACTTCTCTACTGGGAAAAAAGAGAGAAGGTACTTTTTCATCTCTTTTCTATAGTCCAGATTCGTTATTATAATTGTTCAATGCTTTGCTTTTGGTCTTTTTTTAATATCTCTATTATTATAGACACTTCAAGCATTGCTCTTTGGCTTTCATTTCTCTCTGGATCAGTTAAAGTAATTCTTAGCATGTTTTCCTAAATTCTTTGTATTCACCACTTTTCACAAAGTGATAATATTCCATTTTTGTGCTTTTTTCACATCCCCAGTGCTTAAAACAGTGCCTGTCATACAGTAGATGTTTAATAAATGACAATTCTTTTGTCTTGACTTGACACCATACTAATGCCATAGATTCATCTTTATAAAGTGGGAAGGGCATCAAATGAAGAATCAGAACATCTGATATAGAGTAGTAGAGAGGAAAACACACTCTCCCAGGGATCAGGGGGCCTGGATTCAGATTGTGACTCTGTTGGTTATTACATTTGTAACTTCGATCGGCTCACTTAACCTCCATAGGCATCTGTTCTACATCTGTAAAATGGCTCCTGAGGTCACCACCAACCTTACATCTTCTGATCCTCCCACCTGAATTTGAATCCTGGCTCTTCAAATCACTGCATACATATTGATGCATAGGTCACTTAACTTCTGGGGCCGTCACTTTCCTCATTTTTTTGTAATGAGAGAGTTGGACTAGACCTCCGGTAATATTCTTCCCAATTCTAGTTCCAATTATTCTCCTATTACATTCACCTATCACAATATTTTCAACCACACTCCAATTGATGGACATTTGTTTTGTTTCCAGTTTTATTTTACCACCACAAGAAAAGGCTGCTATGAATATTTTAGGATCCGATTACAGACAACTCTAAAACAAAAGTATTTTGACCAAAAGCAATGGAGTTCCTGATTTTAGAAGTGGTCCCATCAAAAGGCTGATATTGGTTTTACTTTATATATTCAAATTTGCAATCTCAACAATTCAGAGGCTACTGATTTCCACTTAGGCCCTTTGCCTAAAATTAGTATATCACTGAATAGGCATCATGGATCATGTGGACCATACAAGGCCCAATATGGAATGAGATGTTTTCAAAACTGGCGGGTTTTTCCTCCTTGGAGATCTTTAAGCAGAAGCTAGAGAACCACTTGTGGGATAAGGGGATTCCTTTTGTACATAAGTTGGTCCTAATGACCATTGAGGTTCCTTCCAACTTTTATCTTCTGTGACTTTGTAAATTCCTTATCAAATCTGTTTTTTTTTTAATTTTCTATCAAATCTGTTTTTTTTATTTAAAAAAATCAAACTAATTAAACATAATGATCTTCTGCTGAAGTCTCCCTCCAGTGTCTCAATGCAGTATGGAGGGTTCCCTGAGTTCCTAAAAGGTATATCATCAGAGTGTAAACTCTGGCACTGTTATTAAACTGGAAAAAAAAGTTGTAAGTACAAGGACCAGCTTGATGAAGTTCAATTTCAGTTAATTTAACAAACATTTATTAAGCATGTGCTGCTCTAAGCCAGACACTGCAGTAGTCACTAGAGGATATATGTTAAAAAAAAATCTGATTCAAAAGGAGCTTACATTGTAATGGGAGAAAAAACCAAGTACACATAAAAATAGAGAGTGTGAATACAAGGGTAAATATAATATAAATGGGGGAAAGGACCCTAGCAGTTGGAGAGATACGAAAAAGCTTAATGAAGAAAATGGCACATGAGCTTTGTCTTAAGGTCTGAGAAGGGACTCTATGAGGTGGAGGTGAGGAGAGAAAGCATCCCAAGCTTGGAGAATGGACCATTGAAAAGTACAAAAGCTAATTTGGCTGGATCACAGGATTCGGGAAAGGGAGCAGTGTTCAATGAGGTTAGATAGGATAGAGCAAGGTTGTTTAGGCCTTTAACACATCATAGTGAAGGAGAGAGAGAGAGGAAGGAAAGAGCAAGAGAGAGAGAGAAAGAGAGAGAGAGAGAGAGAGAGAGAGAGAGAGAGAGAGAGAGAGAGAACTAGACTTGAGCCAAGAAGACAAATCCAGCTTCTGACACACATTGGGAAAGTCATTTTCAGACCTCTCTTTTCTAGGCAACAATCTGTAAGTTTCAGAGACAGTGTTGATATGCAGTAGTAGGAAAAACCCATGGAATAATAGGTCATGGTTAAAAAAAAGGAAAGGGTTACTGTACAAGACAATGGAGATAGAAAAAATGAGTCTCTGCTTTCAAAGAATTTGTATTCTGGGGAAAACACATATGCACATAAAGTAAACATTCAACATATATGTTCTTTGTGGGCAAGGACAATTTTTTTTGCCTCCGTTTGTATCTCCAGAGCTTAACACAATGCCTGGCACTAAACACTTAATAAATATTTGTTGACTGATTGATTAACTAGTACAAAATAATGTTATGATTGAAATTAAGGTAAATTGAGCCCAATCGATTTATCAGCAAAGCATGAATTTGCCAATAAATAGGGTCTCAGCCTCCTTATCAATAACTAAGACCCTGAGGTTGGGCTGCCAAAAGGAGGAGTGGCAACAGTAAAAGGTAGCATCATAGATTGAGAAAACAGTATGATTGGTTACAATGCCTGGAGCATCATAAATGGGAAAAAAAAAGTATAGTTGGCTGGAGATTGGTTGTGTGGGGCTAGCAACCATCTCTCCTTCCATCTTGTTGCTAATTGATTGTGTTCACCTTCAAGATTAATTAGTGGTACATGGATAGGCTACCAGACTTCCTCAAAGGAGTG